GTCAAATTTGGAAATGAGCATGCAGACAATGGACCCCGGACTAGGTGCGTTCCAATAAGTCTTCCTACCAATATGACCATGTTGTGAAAACAAGGTCAAACAACCTCAATGTATTTTTGTTTACCAAATGAAGAGCAGGCTTAATCTATGTAGACATTGGTGCTTCTTCTCTAATTTCCCACCTCTTTGGTAACTAAACTAGCTTTTCGATAGTATACAGTTTGGTACCCTCGGCAGCATAGTCAAACTGCTCAACTTCTTTTTCGCCCTAATTGCAAGTTTCCTCCATCCCATTTTTTAAATATTGAGAACTAATCGACAATTAACCCTAATGGATAACCGTTGTGAGCTGAAATTTTTATTAACCTTTTTACTTCTTGATCATGGTGATTCAAGTCTACCAGGAGCAAACATCTGAGTACCATTGGTTGAACAACCCCATAAATATGATTAGAGAAGAAATTTAGAAAGAAGCCCACCAATTTGCAAGTCTCTTTCATCCGTAATTTAGGCTAAATGAACAGTACAAAAATGCCTCTTAAGTTCTTTCCATACAATATTCATTTACTTTTGGTATCTACCTTTTTCTGCCATTCTAATGTTACCCGCCTTTGATCACTTTCTAAATGATAGTTGCTGCAATGTCTTATGGTGGATGCTAATGCCCGAAAATAGAAACTCGTCCTAATTCGACTTACAACTGGCTATTTGTTTAAATTCCCTATCTTCTTTAATCTAGTCGGAAATACGCTGGATATTCACATTTACACTAAACTGATGATTTGGGGAAAAATCTAAGTCATTTTTATTTTTCGGCTGTCTCTACACAATATTCTCATTAGGCCAGAAGGTGAAAAAAAATCATATTTGGGTAGACTACTTTGATTTATAGATGTATACTCTGAAAAAGTCTTTCTAGTTTTTAATTGCAAACACTGGCAAGGAAATGAAGAGGTGTTTAGATAACTGCAAATTGTAATTAATTTTCGGGGTACATGACTTGCGGAACAAGCACAAGTGTCCTTCCGACATTACATTACTTGCTCAATTAGGCACTTGAGTATTCTGGATACTTTATACACAAGAGCACTTGTGTGCCTCCCAACGACATTAAGGCCAACTGAAAATCCAAACCTATGCTCCATATCCCCTTGATTCTGCTTTGCATCACTTCTGAAATCAGAATACACATCCTCATTAACTAAAGACCATTCAACATTCTTACTACCTTCTCCAAACTCTTGTTGATAAGGCTGCAGCCAAGCCAGTCTCTTATTTTTGTTGTGTTGCTATTATAATGTGTTGGGGAATCCAAAATTGATAGACTTACTACCTGAATTTTTATTGGATTGTGCCAAGTTAAATCCTTCATACAGATACAACTTTATCAAGACATGCTTACATTTATACCAGTAGCACCATAGCTCTCTTCTCTTTCCAGCCAAACACATATTTTCTCTACGAAAAGTGTTTAACTTCAGACTGAGAAGCCATATTATTGTCTGAATCATTTTTTTGTAGTCGTTTTAAGTAGGGAAGTGGTCTGATCTCATTTGCGCACCAAATTCATATTGTCAGAACGACCTTGAAGAACATACCTTGTCCGGCGTTCAGCGTCGGAGGATTAATCTGCTACATTTCCTATGCTTCTCCGGCATCGTATTTAGCAACTTTGGTGAGATTCGCCAAAATTCAAATCATCAAAGGGACAAGTGAAGTCCATCACTTACATAAATTTTTAATGGACTGTTTTGGTCTCTTTTATTTATATGTCCTGTTGCATTTAAATATTCCATATTCCATTGCTTAGTATTTCATTTCTCTCTTTGTCAAAATGAGCTGTTTCATGGTCGTAGGAATGCCAAGGCTTACCGGCAATACAGACTATGGTGCCATCTAAATGTTTGGGAATTTACCAAGTTCACGGCCCGTCGCTGAAATTCATCGTGACTAGTATTGTAGAAGACGCCGAACAAAGTAGGTTTCTTAAGATCACTCTGACAGCACAACCATGCGGAAAGGAGATCAGACCAACTATATACTACACCAAAAATAGAGACAAAACCATTTTGGTCTATATACCTGATAAAATATGGTTTGATAGCCTTCATTTGACTTCAGAAAGGAGCAGTAAAAACTGAATATACATCAATGAGTTCAATGATTTTCGTAATGGGTAACTGTATACAATGAGCCGGACTGTCTAAATGTGGCAATAAGATGTATTCACCCTATTTCGTGTAAGGTGATGAAGGACTGGTAGTAGAATTTTCCCACAATGA